CATATTCAAAGGGGAAGGGGCTCAAGAGATGGGGGGAGGGAGAGGAGGGAAAGGTGATGAAAAAAGGAATTAGGATGTATTATGTGTGTGTACCAACTTCCCACAAGGAATGTAAACATTACACACTACACACATGTACCAATAAACTAAAAGTTTAAAATTGTAGTGGCATAGAATAATATATTATTAACTCTGCAGTTAACTGGATTTACTGGGTAAGATTTTTTGACTCCATTCACTATGGTGCTGAGGATTAAGCCGAGGGCCTCACCCACACTAACTATGTGCTCTATTCCTGAGCTATATCCGGGTAGGTGGTTCTTTTTTTAAATTAAGTTTATTGGTACATAAACCTTTCCCCCTTTAACTTTGGGTGTTGGGTATTTTGTCTCAGCAATGATAGAAAAGTAACTAAGAGACTACCCAAATGTCTGTTTTGCTAAATTGTAAATAGCTATTGGTAATTTTTTTATTATAAAAAATTTTTAGTTTATTGGTACATATAAATGTGTCTCACAGAAAGCTAAAAAAATAGACCTAAAGGGGGAAAATTAACATTCTCATGACTACATCTGACTAGTATTCCTGAAGAGTATTCCATCATGTATACATAATGCGTTTTCTTTATACGTTCACCTGCTGATGGACATACGGGCCACCTCCAATCACATTCATCGTAGGGAATTTGTACCCGTACTGATACATCTTGATTTTTTCCCATTCCCCTACCCTCACTTCCACCTCTCTTTCCCTCATGTACAAAAGCTGTTTCCATTTTTCCTTCCTTTCTGGTTTTTTTTTCTTGTCCTTTCCTTCCTTTCCCCCTCCCTAGCTCTCCTTTCCATTTGAAAATTTTCTTCCCATTTCCCATTTCCCAATATGTACTATGCATTTTGGCCCTTATTAACACTTCCAGTTTCTTTTTTTTGTTTTGTTTTGTTTTGTTTTGTTTTGTTTTGTTTTTCTCCGGTACCGGGAACCCAACTCACGACCTTGCGCTTGCCAGGCAGGCGCTTTTTGCCGCTGAGCTAAATCCCCAGCCCCCACTTCCAGTTTCTTATACTGGAGAAGTAACGTGGTACCAGCTGGGTGATCCTGATGGGGGTATCTCATGGAATTATAGTCAGATGTAGTCATGAGAATTTTAATTTTCTCCCCTTTAGGTCTATTTTTTAAGCTTTCTGTGAGAGACACATATGTTGTATTTATAATAAAACAGTTATCAATAGCTGTTTACAATTTAGCAAAACAGACATTTGGGTAGTGTCTTAGTTACTTTTCTATCATTGCTGAGACAAAATACCCAACCTCCAAAGTTAAAAGGGGAAAGGTTTATTTAGCTCACAGTTTATAGAAGTTTTTTTTGTTTTTGTCTTGTCTTTTTGAGACAGGGTCTCACTATGCAGTTCAAGCTGGCCTTGAGCTCACTTTGTCGCCCAGGCTGATCCCGAACTCACAGCTATCCTCCTGCCTCAGCCTCGTGAGTACTGGGATTACAGGCAATAGAAGTTTCAGTCCATAATTTACTCACTCCAAGGCAAGGAGGCACATGGCATGGGAGCAACTGTTCATGGTGTGGAAGACACCAAAAGCAAACAGATCTAGACGGGACAAATTTCTTTCTGTCCCTTATATTATACGCAGGCTACCCACCCTTAATCCAGCACTGGGCCTCGAATCAATCACAAACTCTAGAGTCAGCCACCTCTAAAAAGCCTGCCTGCCCCCAGGACTGCATGTGGCTTTGGGGAGACATCTAGACATAAACCACAACAGGTAGGAAGGGACAGAGAGAGAAAAGATAGTACCTAGAAAGGAAAAATGAAAGGAACAAGGGGATTTTGCAGATTTTAAATCGGACAGATTGACCTCACGTACCACCTGAGATAATTTTGTAAGAAATGCACTCAGGAGGCTAAGGAAGGACTGCGTTTGAGGCCAGCCGAGGCTGCCCAGCAAGTTTAAGGCCATCCTGGACTACATAATAAAACGCCTCCTCTCAAGGTGGTGAGGGGGTAGGGAGTGAGAGAGAGGAAAGAAGTCAGGAAGTAAGAAAGAGAAGTAAGGAGGAAAGCACGGGAGAGAGAAAAAGAGTAGAAGGGAGAGAGAGAGAGAAAGAGAGGGAGAGAGAGAGAGTCAACAATACCTACGTAATATTCCCACCCTCGCCTTCAAAAATGTAGTTACAGACGCTTACCACAAAGAAACCGTCAGACTGACCCAAACTGAGGGGCACTTTTAAGATGGTCTGAATTTGTAAACATGTCAGCAGGGTGAGAATGTGGTGCAGTGCTGGAGCGCTTGCCCTGAATTCAATCCTCAGTGTGTGTGTGTAAGGGGGGTAGTGTGAAAGTCAACGCCAAAAGAGAAAAGGCAAAGTCGGGGAAATTATTCTAAGTTAAAGCAGAGCAAAGCAGTATGGTAACTACAGGTGTGAGCCTGTATCAGATCAGACCCTGGCGGACAGTTATAAAGGGCAGAGGGACACGTGGGGAAGTCTGCACTGGTCAGTAACAGTATTCTGTCTCTATTAAAGATTCTGCATGTTTTTACGATGTGACTAGGTAGGAGAATGTCTTGCGGGAGTGGCCTACTATGTCCAGTGTACATGTGACATCACGTTTTTAATACTTATAACTCTGATAAGGAAATTGTGGTCTTTTCTTCAGATGAGGAATCAACATACACACAGAGATCGAGCCCAAAGCTGTATCTTTTCACACTGCTACACTGTCTTCGGGTGGATAAGGTACGAATAGGCCATCCTAAGAACACCATTTCCCAGAATTAGAGCAGAATATAAACACCTAAGACAACTTAACACGATCTATTTTCTACCTGGAACCAAGGAAAGTATTGAAGAAAGAAAAAGACTCCTTCTGTACCGGGAATCCCTAAGAAAACATAAATTTCACAAAACTGATGATCAAGTACCTAAGAAAGAAACTCGCCAAAAGGACACTTCAAAAGGCAAGAAGGAAGTTGGGTGCTGTGGCGCACACCTGTGACTCCAGCTACTCTGAGGCTGAAGCAGGAGGATCGTAAGTTCAAACCCAGACTGGGAATTTATTGAGACCTTGTCTCAAAATAAAAAATATAAAGGGCTGGGGATGTAGCTCAGTGGTAGAGCATCTCTGGGATTCTACCCCCAGTACCACAAAAAGGAAAAAAGAAAAAAAAAAAAGGAAGGAGGAAACTGTGTCACTGTACCTATGGAAAAATTATCTACTAGCGAGAGGAATACACGTCCAGAACTGAGATGTGAAGGGCTAGAAGGCAAGAAAAACTTGCAACCTCCATGTACCCTCAGAACCCAAGTTGGCATTTGTCGTTAGAGCGCACTGTATCCGCGCTGAGTCCCAAGTCCTGAAGGGTGCCGCAGTTCTTTCAGGTTAACTAGAGGGTCATCAGTGCCTCTGTTAACCGCAACAAGGCCTCAGCCACCTTCAGGAGTACTGTGAACCAGCGCGTGCACGGGGGCTCCCAAACCTAGCATCTGCAAATGAACTATCAACAAGTGTGACTGTGACAAAATCAGTAAGGAGTCAAGTCGTCTTGACAGATAGCTCCGACTGCCAGCTCTCGATAAACAGGACATCATCTGACTGCAGGCTCTCATTCATGAGAGCTACACTGACGAAAAATTCAAAAAGCAAAAACGACTTCTTGTGAAACTTTAAATGATTTCCATGAGGAGGAATGAAGTAGGCCACTTATTTTATCGTAAGGGGAGATGCCTTCTATTAAAGGATAAAATTACAATAAACTTAAGGAGCTTGTCTTGTGATTCTAAAATCAGTCAACAATCCACTCCACAGAACAGAACAAAGTTCAGTGAGCTAAGCAGAAGAGGCCCCCTTCCTCCACCCACCCTCATGCTGGGGATTGAGCCTAAAACCTTTTTAACTGACCTACATTCCTAACCCTTTTTTCTTGGCGTGAGACAGGGTCTCGCTATGCAGTTGAGGCTGGCCTTGAGCTCACTTTGTAGCCCAGGCTGTTGTCAAACTCACAACCACCTTCCTGCCTCAGCCTCCTGAGTGCTGGGATTACAGGCGTGCGCCGCCACGCCCGGGATTTCTAACCCTTTTTAATATTTTTAAAACAAGCTCTCCCTAAATCACGAAATTGTCCAGGTTGGGTTTAAACTTCCAACCTTCCTGCCTCAGCCTTCCAGAGTGTTGGGATTACAAGTGTGTGTCACATGCACAGGGAAACTGGCTTTATAACAACAACGGGGCCGGGGCCGGGGCTGAAGCTCAACGGCAAAGCGCATGCCTGGCAAGTGCGAGGTCGTGAGTTCGATTCCCGATACCGGTGTGTGTGTGTGGGGGGGACCAGGCTGAAAAAAGCAGAAAGAGAAAAAAGTAAACAGTGGAATGGTCACCTCAGCTACTTTTCTTGTAACGCAGGGACAAAACAAAAGCTGTTTGATATCGGGTTACCTTTTTTTTGACACGGATTAAAGTAGAGAGAACTTGACAATCATGCTGATTGAAACTGGCCTATTTGGAAAATGTGGTTGTATCTCCGTCTGATTTCTTTGAGGACCCGATAGTTTAGCCTTGGTTTAGTGAGGTGGCATTTTAGGATGCGTGGCTCTACTCTCACAAATCCAGCCCCAGGGGCCCAGTGCAGGAACGTAGACCAAAGTCACCCTATACTTTATACCTAATTGCAACAGGAAACACTATACAGCAAATTTACTAGGTCCATGAACCAAAATGTCTATTATTATTATGGCTTTTAGAGACAGGGACCCCCCTGCAGTTCAGGCTGGCCTCAACTCGCAGCGATTCTCCTGCCTCGGCCTCCAGGGCGGGGGCGTTGCAGGCGCGCGCCACCGTGTCTGGAGTCTACCTGTTTCTGCACGCGGGTAGGTTATCAGCAATTGCTTTCAAACTGGAAAAAAAAGGCATTTTGACTCTCCCCTCAGGACGGGAACACACTTCCGCCGAGCGCGCTCTGCGCAGGCGCGGCGCGTCCACCGGCGCTCCGACTCGGGTTCGCAGGGGCAGGCCGGGGGGAGGCCCCCAGCGACGGAAACGGCCAACAGCGCGCACTCCGAGGCCGCGCCGCTGCTAAGCGGTGAGGGCCCCGCGGGGTCCAGGCTCTCTCTGGCGGAGACCGGCGAGGGACGGGCGGCCCACACGCGCGGGTCAGGCTGTGGCGAGGCCCCGCCCCCGCCCCAGGCGCTGAGCGACGCCCTGAGCCGGCGCCGGTCGGTGGGAGTCGCGCATGCGCCGCATGGGATTTCCCCCCCCCCCGCACTTTTTCCTAGGGCTGCTTCCGGGTCGAAGGGTTTGCTTCCGGAAAGCGGGAAGGCTGAAACGCGGCGGCGAAACTGGACCATTGTTACAAAGTTCTAAGGGAAGAAGGCCGCCGCCATGGACAGGTCCGTCCTGGCGGTGACTCCGGGGCCCGAACCTTGTTCCTCTCGCGGGTTGGCGGAGTGAAGTGAGCGCGGCCAGTCTTGCGGAGGGAGCCGGCTGTCCGGCGGCGGGGCGGCCTCTCGCGGCCTCTCGCGGCCTCCGGCGGGTCGTGGCTCAGTGCTCGGCGCGGAG